ACATTCATTAATTCATTCACTTTTTCATTTAGTATATTTTACTGAGTAATTATTACTTGTTAAGTACTATGGAAATCCTGGGATAGGGGAATGGAATATAAACCATACAAGTCCATTACCTTACAAAGTTGTCAAATATGCACACTTACTCTAACCTTTTAGTCCACTTTTTTCCTGTGTCAAGAGATCATAAGAATTTTAGTGTCTTTGATCTATCTACACAAGAAGTTTTTAAGCAGAGTCAGAAATGCATCAAATTATCTAGGGAGCTTTTAACAAAATTGTGTTCCTTGGTCTAGTTCTTAAGAATTCCCAGAATTGTATCCCATTGTTTTTTAACATTTTGCTTATATCACTAACATGTTCAAATGCCTCCTTGAGCCAAATAATCATCAAGATTCTTAAATGTGGTTTAATAATCTAAAATAAGTAACTAGTAAATAATTGTCTACTTTGACACTATATATCATTCATGTTCATATTCTACTTAAAAAAAAACAAACAAAAAAACCTAGACAGTTATTTTCTGAAGCTATATTAAGGCCCATAGGTCAAGGAAGAAGTTCGTGGCCATTTTAGCAGTAACTCTCACAGAATTTTTCCTTAACGTGATTAGAGGAGCTGAACATATATAAAGCAAAACCTGCTGTCTGTTTCCATTTAGACACACCTGCCAGGTTAGACACAGCTGGATTCTATTTGGTTAACATTGTTCATTAAAATTTCAATTAGATGAAATTTCTCAAGAAACATACCAATCTTAAAAACTCAAAAGTGTGAAAGAAATTTATCAGTTTAATTTAAAATCACATCTTTTAAAATTAAAGTGTATAATTTTACATTCATATATTTATAAAGCCATATATTTTAGATATAGTTAGTTTCACAAGTTTGTCAGAATGACATTTCAAATTTATATTAGCAACATTTTAAAATATATTGTTAAAGAACCCTGAGACAGTCACTGGACTAATAATACTCAGATGTAAAAGGCAGGTGACCACCAATGCCTTTGGCAGGCACTTTCACCAACCAGCATTTACCAAAGTGTAGGGGACGTTCCATGGTCAAGTAGACTTTCGGGTTCTCACTAAAGAACTTGTGACACAATTTAATATGCATATATTTGCTAAAAATATGCAAAATGGTAAAAAAAGTGAACTGAATTTCCAAAATGTTCATTGTTTTTTTATCGTAGCTGTTGGGGTACTAGTATTTTGCAAATTACCATGGGAAAAATAGCAAAAGATGCTTTCACGTTAGTGCAATTACCAAAGGGCTTTTTTACTTTGACACGTTAGTGCAATTACCAAAGGGCTTTTTTACTTTGAAGGTGTTTGTTTAAAATTAAAGGTAAGGAGCACAGCATAGGGAATGCAATCAGCAGTAACGTAATGGCTAGGTGGAGAGCCGGAGGAGAGAAAGAGCAATCAGGGGGATTGTTTCATAAACTATATAAATGTCTAACCAATGTACTGTGTATTTGAAACTAATAATTTTTTAAAAAGAATTTTTAAATTCTTAAATTTTAAAAAAGAATGATGAAAACAAAAAATCGACGATAGATGACACAGTATGTGTTAAATATCTATAGTCCTTTGAAATGAGACCAAAGTTATACACATTAGCTATGAAGAATGATGTGTATCACTTTTAAAAATGAACATTCATTCAAACAACTATTCATTTAAAAATATATTTTTCACCCAGCTAGAAAGATATCTGTCACTGATCAAGAAAAAGGAGAATAATTATGACGTCAATTATTTATAGGCTGTTTTTAGTGACTGTCCCAGACTTGGTTGAAAGGCTTCTGTGCAGAAGTGGTGAAGACAAGAAAATCTGTCTAACACATAAAAAAAGAATAGGCATTCAATATTTATATGGTTCTCTCATCTGACACTAGTGAATGAAGCATTTTTTGTTTTATTATAGTTTTTCTTGTCTTATCCACATAAAAGTTCTTACATTCAAAATGATTATGAAATTATGATTTGAAATTATTATATGAAAAATGATTTGAAAGTATGGTGTTGGCTACTGGTCTTACACTAACTTGCCTTTCTCTTTCCAAGTACTATTTAAATTATTTCAATCCTAATTGCTTACTTAAGTAAAATCACATGGTATAATAAAAAGAAAACTGTTTAGAATCAAAAGACTTAAGTACAAATTCCATCTCTGCCATTTACTAGGTCTATGACATTGGGGAAATTATCTAACATCTCCAATCCTTAGTCTTCTCTCTTGAGAAATAGGATTTTCTCTGCTTCACAGAGTTGTGTCTGTTAGGAGAAACTGGATATATAAAGTCCTGGCATATAACAGGTTCTCCAGAATTATTCATTCTCAGTGGACAGCATGTCTCTCGAATCAGACCCTAGCCTAAAATAATGGCTAATTTTAAAGCTTCACTAAAATTATTTTTTTACCTCAATAAGTAGCTTTCTGTTCATCTACCTGATTCACCTTTGGCAGAGCCTGTCCCTTGGTTTTATAAGCCTTCTATAACATGCCTGTAAGTTATATAAGTACAAAATCAAAAATAACCTATGATTTTGCAGAAAACTCTGAGGCCGAGTGACTTGATTCAAGTAATTGACAAGTTCAATATTTATTCAGGTATTATCAACAGTGTATAAGTTGTAAGAAAACTATATTTCAGAAGACTGCAGAGTCTTTGGAGGATTTATTTCTTTCTCTGTATATATTTCAATGGTTCTTTGCTTGTTTGTTATTGTTTATTCCTGGGAAGCTGAGAGGTTTTTTTCAGCAGTAATTGGAGGAGGGACACATCGAGACCCTCGAGAATACAGAAAATCTATCTAGCACTTATTTTCCCCATAATCTGGAAGAGAGACCTTAGTGACAATAAATGAGTCTAGACTCATTCAACATCAATCTATACCAGACTGACACGTTTCACACGTAGCATGATTTAAGACTGAATAACGAAGACCTTGAGAAATGCACTGATGTTTGATCATTGCATTCATCTAATCATTCCACTAGCAATTGAAAGTAGAGATCTCTATTGCAGAGCAGGCAGATCCTGGGAAATAACAGTTACCAGGAGCTGGGCCTTATTCTGGTATAAGTGGAGATGTCAGTCTTCCTCAGCGCATCATGGCTCCTGAAGCCTAGGCAGGCTGGTTGCCAAAGCACAGTAGCAACTCGAAGAGGGAGTGACGGGAACATGTACCGACGCTGGGAGACACCTGGGAAAGCTTGACCTCCACAGCAGGAGAACTTGGGTTCCACATTACCAGATGGTTCCTGATTCATTCCACCTTATAGTACGTGCAGCCAGTGTGATCACTCCCACCTCCTCCACAGCTACCACCCTGTTCTAAGCTACCATCATCTCCAGCCTGGATTCGTAGAGTGCTTCCTTACAGAGCCTTTGCTCATGCATGTTCTTGTCCTAAATAATCTATCACTGGCTATCTGTACGATGGCCAGGGATCTTTCCCATTCACTCAGAGTGTAAATCAAAGGTTTTTCAGTGACCCACATAGCCTTATAGAACCTCACCCTCAATCTCTTGTCAGCCTCCATTCCTACTACTCTCTCTCCCACAGTCTGCTTCCATCATTTGGTCACTTGCTACTATTTGCCTACTCTCACCCCTATCCTTCTTACCCTGAACTATTCTTTTTCTTATACTATTTGTTATTTTTTAACAAATGAGTCTATTTTTTTATGTAAGTGCCATGAGAGACAGGATCTTCCTTTTCTTCATTCATATATACCAAGCACCTAGTTTTATACCAGGCATACAGTAGTCACTCATTAAGCACTTCTTGAATGGAGTACACATTCTATGTAACTTGTACCTAAACAAGAGATGATGGAGAGAAGAAAGAAAATAAGCCAGAATTATTCTGGAAGAAGTACTATGTGAGGAATCAAATTAGCATCATGAATAGATGGCTTGGCACTAATTATTAATTCATTCCTTTCAATCTCTAAAATGTGAAATAATCA